CCCCCCCCAGTCTGGAGAACCAGCCCATGTCTTTCCAACTGGTTAGATATCGCTAACCCTTGCACCCACAGGGAGATTAGAAATATGCAAATCGTTTAACTTAATTAGCAAAATCACAAATTTGATTGGGGAAGTTGTGGGAGCAGGACTGATTTTTCCACTCTAGATGGTTTCGTGGACCCAGGCGTAAGTCCTACAGGGTTGGAGAGCCACAGGGAAGCTTGACCTTATACAACCTACAGCAGGATCCCGGCGGAGGCCCTGTGGTGTAGAGAAAGCCAGGAGCCTGGGTGCTGGTCAGCTGAGAGACCAGTTGTTTTACCTCTCTGAGCTGCCGTTTTTCTCATCTCAAGACAAATGCCTCCTTATACCTAGTAATACCATGGGCCCCTTGTCCTGGAACCCTGGGCTTCCTTCCCGCCCTGCAGAGCAGCCCTTGTGAATTTACCTGCGTGGACACCAGAACCCCCAGGGCCGTGGAGGGAGCCTCCCCTGTCCTCGTGCTCATGATGCACCGTAGACCTCGTGGGAACTAAAGCTAAAGCCAGCCTGTGTGAAACGGGGGTTTTATCTTGGCAGTTATTTTTAAGGGGCTGATTTTCTGATTATTACTGTTCAAAGACGCCTCCAGTGTTGCTTCCAGCTGAAGCGCCAGACTAGGCGGCATAGGACAAATACTTTCCCGTATTCGTCACCATCCCTGTGGCTTGTCAAAGCCAACATGGCATTTCTGTTGCACCCCAGGTGCCCACCCCCGGCGCTGTCCCTTCCAGCTGTACGCTGCCCACGAGGCCTCTCTGCGGTCACTCTGCGTCTCTGCTACCATGTGCCGCCCTCTCAGGCCTGGTGATCCTGGTCCAGATCCCCAAGGGGCAGTAGGATCACTTCTCTCGGAGCATCCCTCCCAAATTTAGTGCATTTAATATTCTTCAGGTTTGAGCCCATAAGCCTGTGGCGAGCCCCAGAAGGGATCCCAGGCAATAGCATGAGCGTGGGAACCAGTGCGCCTCAACAGTTCCTGAGTGTGGAGCTTCGCCTGCTTGGGTGGGAACAGGTTCGCTGGTAGGAGGATGTGGGACCTGGAGCTGGAAAGACCTCAGTCCGAACCTCTCCTCCGCCATCCGTCGCACTGGGGCCTTGTGCAAATCTTTTACAAATTATTGCACAAATAATGTATCGTGCAAATTATATCCAGGCCTTCCATTCTTGGTTTAGTGGAGATCATGGGAGTTGTTGTAAGAATTAAAGAAAATGTTTTCAAAGGAACCCGCACACTATGTAGCACGTAGTAGGCCCTCAACAATGGTAATGTGCTTCCCTGCCTCACTTAGGTGACGTTGACGCCGAGAAGGGAAATGGTTAGCGTCTGAAAAATAAATAAAAGGCTTTGTGCTCTATAAAGAGTTTATGGAAGGAGAGACACTTTAGAAGAGCCTAGGGAGAAGGCTTAACTTTTCCAGTGAGCGCAGTGAGCTGTTTCTACCCCGCCTGCATTCCTGTGGCATGTCCCCGCGAGCGGCCCAGGAGCACCCACCCAGCTACTTCAGCGTGTGAGGGGTACATGCTGTTTCCCTGAGCCTGCGCTGGACTGGAGGGATGGATGGGTGGTCTAGTCCTCCCCATCAGTAAGAGGACCCAGGCAGACAGGGGCTCCTGGGCCTCTCCTGCAGCATGCCCCTAGGCGAGTCCCACCCAGGACGGCCCCACCTGGGCCGCCTTCAGCTTCCATCCGGCAAACAATGTTCTGCATGTGAGCAGCCTCCCCATCTTCCTCTCTCATGCTCCCCAGGCCTCGACTTTTCTGAAGAGTACACAGATTTGCTCAGAAGAATTGTAGTAAATCTTATTTGTAAAGTGCTCTGAGGTGACACTTTTCTTGGACTGCTTCTCTCCTAACTGCCGAGCTCCTTATGTTAGTAGGACTGTCTGTCGCTTCCCTTCCCAGATCCTCCTGGAGTGACTGCTTTCCTTTGCCACCACGGTGACTGCTTAATATTCAGTGCCATTTCCTTCTCCCGACTGTCCTGGGGTGTGTGTGTGTGTGTGTGTGTGTGTGTGTGTGTGTGTGTGTGTGTGTTCACTCACACAACATGTGATTATGATGTGCTTACTGCACGTTTATTGATGGCTTTTCTTTCATTCCACTATTTTTTTAATGTGACTGCTGTGTTCTGTGAGTCATCAGCGGCAGCATTATGCAGTTAATGGATTAGCTGGTGCCTAAAAATAACTGAAGCCCTCACGCAAGCGGCACATAAGCCTGTGTAGCCCCTCAGCAGCCAAGGCAAACCAACGTGCCAGCGTCCCATGCAGAGCCTGCTGGGAATGAATCTTAATGAAGCCAAAAGAGATAGTGGCTGCCCCATGTGCAAAGCCCGGGGCTGGGCCTGCAGTCCAGGGCTGGGCGAGAGCCCTCCTCTTGTTCTGATGCAGGGACGGCTCCAGCAGAGAAACGTAGCAAGCCGCGTGCGTGTGTGCGTGTGTGCGTGTGTGTGTGTGTGCGTGTGTGTGTGTGTGTGTGTGTGTGTGTGTGTGCCCCTCCAAAAGAAGACAGGAGGAGAAAAATGCTCTCTGGCCTTTGTGTGACGTAAGTCCCCCAACTAGGTGATCTCCTGTGGTGTTCATGGCTTTTTAAAAAATAAACCTGAATTGTTAAGAGTAGTTCTAGGTTTACAAAAAATTGAGCAGAAAGTACACGGAGTTCCCAGACACACAGTTTCCCCTATTATTAAAATCTGGCATTTGTGTAGCATATTTGTTACAGTTGAGGAGCCCATATTGCTACATCGCTGTGTACTAAAGTCCACAGTTTACTTTAGGGTTTACTCTGTGCTGCATATTCTGTGAGTTTTGACAGATGCGTAATGCCCTGTGTCCAGCTTCAGGGCAGCATACAGAGTCGTTTCGCCACCCTAAAAATCCTTTACGCTCTGCCCATGTATACCCCCTGCCCCACACGCCCGCCTGGAATCCTTGGCTCCACTGATTTTTGTACCTCTCTGTAGTTCTGCCTTTTGCAGAGTGTCGCATAGCTGGGCTCGTGAGGACTCAGCCTTCCCAGACTGTCCCCTCGCTTGGCACTGTTCATTTATGGTGCCTCCATGTCTTTCTGTGGCTTCGATAGCTCATTTCTTTTTAGCACTGAATAATGTTGTTCTTTAAGGCACACTTTTTTTTTTTTCAATTCTCACTCAAGGATATGTTCCCATTGATTTTTAGAGCGAGAGGAAGGGAAAGAAAGAGAGAGGAAAACATACATTGATGTGAGAGAGAAACATCGATTTTTTGCCTCCTATATGCACCCGACTGAGGATGTGCCCTGCCCAGGAATTGAACCCACAACCCTTTGGTGTCTGAGACGATGCTCCAGCCAACCGAGCCACAGCGCCAGGGCTAAGGCACACGTTTTTAAACCCCAGGAGAGGAGGGCCAGTGGGACAGACCTGTGTGCCTGAGAGCTGCCCTGGTCGCTTGCTGAGCAGTGGAGGCCATGGGAGCCATGCGACAATGTGCGGAAGAACCCAGCCCGTCATTGTTTGGAGGCCCCTCGGCACTGGCGTGGGGTTTACGGAACCGGCCTGAAACGCTTCTACCAAGGACTGAGTCAGGCCTCGCACCAACGTGATTAAGTATCTAGAACAGAACACTCGCAGGTCTCCTGATGCTCTACTGAAGAGTGTGACTTTGCTTATGAATGACTTTTCAACGTCGACGTCAGGGGATGTCTTGCTTAGCCCTTCAGTCATTGTTCCAGGGTTTTCTGATGCTCTCGAGGGCGAGAATGTAGTCGAGCACACTGGCCCCCAGGGAAGGCAGACTGGCTCTCCTCTTCAGGCAGAACGGGATTCGGACAAGGCGAGGAAGCGCCGATTGAACAGTGTCACCGAAAGCAAGACGCGTTCCCTGTAACCCAGCTCCTGAGATGTCATTGCTCCAGGAGCAGGCAGAACCAGTGCCTTTGGGATAGTACCAAGCACAAATGTTTTGTCAAACAGATGCCCTTCGCATTTGTGAAAACAGGGATTCTTGTTAAGGAAACGGGAGGCAAATTTAAGCAACAGAGATGTTTTGTTTTCTTTATATCTCGTTTTTGGCGATTCGCACATATGTGTGTATATAGACAGCGCCCATCGAAGACTGAAATACACAGTCAAGCAGCATAAATACGTGTTTCTGCGGACAGTGTTTAGATACAATAGTTATTGACTAAGTCGTTAAAGGGATTTTATAGAAGAGCAAAGAATGACCCTAGAAGCCGGTCATCAGCTGGACCAGGACTGCAACACTGAATAAATCACCATCAGCCCAGACACGCTCCCTGCTCGACCTGGCTCCTCCATCCTGAATAGAAGGTGGAGGCGATCAGTGTAGAGGGTTTGGGGGTGGCTGGAGAGAGGGAGGGGAGGCAGGTTTCTCAGGGGAGCAGTGAGCAAGTGGCTGTGCCTTCAGCGGCAGGAGGAGGGCGGGGGAAGAACGGGGGAGCACAGGAGGCGGCCTGCCCCTGAAAAGAGAAGTGCCGACTGCCAGGCGTCCAGAGATGAAAGACGGAGGGCTCCGAGCTGACGTAGGACAGAGGCTAGTCACGCGCCTGCTCTAGCGTCTGGTCCGCCTAACGTGTTTGGAAAAAGACGCATTTGTGGATGAACAAAATGGACTGTGGAGTTGCCAGGAGTTATGTAATCTGCTTTGGTTTTATATGGTGCTGGCCCCAGGAACATGTGCTCATTGGGGTTTAACCAGAGACCGTTTGAACCCCCCACAAGGTCATAAAATGAATGATCATCAGCGCAGCTGAAATAGCAAAAAGGGACCTCAAGAGTGGAGAGAAAGGAGCCGAAGTATGATTCTGTGAAGTCATGATGAGCTCAGCGTCTGACGGGAGTGCTGAGTGAGGCTGCTGTGGCTCAGCCCAGAAGGGTGCAGGCCAGGGGAGGGCCAGCCCCGGGGGGAAGGCGCTGCTTCTCTCCCTGGAGAGCACTGTCCGCCCAGTTTAGCCCCTGCTGGCTGCTGGAAAGAAGCAGGGCCGCCAGGCCCCTCAGCGTCTGAGCGTTGGCCCGTGGGCCAGCTGTGCATGGCAGTGTTTTCACAGACGGAAGGCAAACACGGAGCAAGTTCTTCGTTCAGTTAATGAAGTCGCTCCGAGGGGTTTTTCAGTGAGAGTTTGCATGGTTAGGTCCGTCTGCTTAAAATCCCCTTGCAGAGGAGCCGCCTCTGCCTCCAAACAGGCTCGGAAGCTGATGGGCGCGGCGTCGGACACGCTCAGCACAAACCTGGGTAACAGGTTTCTCGTTTGCCTTCCGTCTGTAAAAGCACCGCAAGGCGCGGGCCTGTCACAGGCCGGACGGCATCCTGGGCTCTGGGGATAGAAGGGTGAGCCAAACAGGCGAGGCCTCAGCCTCTGTGCAGCCTCCTTGGTGTGTGTGAGGGCGGGAGGTTCGTGGAAGTGCCTTACCTTGTTCCGCTCCGCTTCTGTATGTGCGTGCGTCAACGAAAACCAGAACCTAATGCCTTTATTCATGTCCTTCCTTCCCCTCTCTCTGCCTCTCGCTGTTTTCGCAGGTCAGCGTGGAGGTCTTGGTCGAGTACCCTTTTTTTGTGTTTGGACAGGGCTGGTCGTCCTGCTGCCCGGAGAGGACCAGCCAGCTCTTTGACTTGCCCTGCTGCAGACTCTCCGTCGGGGACGTGTGCATCTCGCTGACCCTCAAGAACCTGAAGAACGGCTCGGTGAAGAAGGGCCAGCCCGCCGACCCGGCCAGCGTCCTGCTGAAGCACTCGAAGGCCGAGAGCCCGGCGGGCGGCAGGCCCCGGTGCGCCGAGCAGGAGAACGGCATCGGCCGGGGGGGCGCGCAGCTGCTCGCCGAGAACGGCGAACTGAAGTTCCCAGAAAAAATAGGATTGCCCGCGGCGCCCTTGCTCCCCAAAACCGAGCCCAGCAAGCCCGCCGCGGCCCGGAAGAGGAGGTGGTCGGCGCCCGAGAGCCGCAAGCTGGAGAGGCCGGCCGACGAGCCCCCGCTGACTCTCCCCAAGCCTTCGCTAATTCCTCAGGAGGTCAAGATTTGCATCGAAGGCCGGTCCAACGTAGGCAAGTAGCAGCGGCTGGGAGGCAGGGCGGCCCGTCTCCTTTGTATCCAGATTACTGTACTGTAGGCTAAGTAACACAGTATTTACATGTATCCTCTCCCTTTAGGTTTCTGTTATTACCTTGTCGTTAGAGTTACAGCTGGTGTTGCGCAGGAGACTGGTGCATATGCTTTTTCCAAGGGTGTCTGTCTGTCGGGGGGAGGGGCCAGAGCGGCGCCAGCGGGGGGGCCCAGGCATCTGGTGGAAACGAAAAAGTGGCTTTAGGGCGCCTGCCTTTTCTACGGGCGCAGAAGCACCCGCGGGGCGCTGACTTCTGCTGGTTTCCCGAGGACGCGCTCGGGGAGGGCATCGCAGGGGGCGCGCGCGTGCGGGGCGGCGGGGTGCCACGCACGGCCAGTGAGGGCCTTTTTCTCTGCCTCCCTGTCTCACTTTCTTGCTCTCAGCACGGGGATTGGAGGTCCCGAGACATGTCCTCAGGAGGTCTCACGTGCAAAAATAAGTATCAGGAACCCAGCTTCAGGGCATCCTAGAAAGGCATCGATCGACAGCAGATGGAAAGCTAACCCTGTAAAAGAACAGTTTTCTCCCTCCAACATATTTTACAATAAAAGCAACTTTTAATCATATAGATATATATTTCCCCCTATGGGGCCTGACTGCACTGATTTTTTTTTTAAAGAGCAACTGCCACAGGTGGGATTTCATTTCTGCTTCACTAGAGCAGTGCCGTCTCCAGGGTGGCCGGCGGTGGCTGGCGGTGGCGCGCGGGGCGCAGGGCGGCCCCCAGCGGCTCCGCGGGGGAGGGACGGCGGGAAGGAGCGGGGACACCCACTCTGGTTTCTGTGCAGTGTTAGGAAAACCAATCAGGTGGTCGCCTTGGCTTCGCTCCCAAGAGGCAGACGACCTGCCCTTCCGAGAGCAGCAGATGCTCTTCGCATTGGGTTTGCAAATCTTTTGTCTTTTAACTCTAGTACTGTTTATAGTTCATGACTATGGACAACTCGGGTGCCACTTTTTTCAGATTCCAGTGTGACGTGAGGAATTAGATTTCGAAGATGAGCATATATATTACTATCTCTAAGCACTTAAAATACTGTTCACACTTTATTACCAAGCATCTTGGTCTATCATTCAACAAGTACTGTATCTCACTTTCAAGTCTTTGGGAAGAAAAAACAAAAACAAAAAACTAAGTTGCTTTCTTTTTTCAACACTGTAACTACATTTCAGCTCTGCAGAGCTTCTCACGTCAAGATATTGACAGTTGCAATGTGGTTTAAAGGATGAATGTGAATCACGAAGCAGTGTGGACGGTGAGTGGCCACCAGTGCAGCCTGATGGGAAGGCGCTCTCGCTTTGGTGTTGGAGAGGGAACTCAAGGCATATGCAGAGCTGGCAGAGAAACCGAGAGAAAAGGGATGGAGAAAAGGAATACTCATTTTTGTCCAGTGTTTTTCTTTTTAAGACGAACTTTTAAAGAACCTTGCGATTTGCACATCTTGAGTTTATAATTTGTGTGATATTCCTGCAGTTTTTATCGAATAACATTGTGGGAAAGGTTTGGGGGACTGAACGAGCATAAATAAATGTAGCAGAATTACTTTCTAACCTGCCTAAACTCTAGGCTGTTTTATAAGGTTATGTTCCTTTCAGCATTTATTTTGGTCTTTCTACCACATCTGTCACAAAAGCCAGGTCTTGGCAGGACAACTCGGAGAATTTTCTTCAGATTCATTGAGAGAGTTTTCCGGAGAGACATTTATATGTGTAACTTGTTTTTTTAAAAAAAAACAACAAAAAACAAAACAACAATTACTTCATTATTGTTGTTGATGTTATTTCCAGAATGACTTTTTTTTTTTCATCTGAAATCAAATCAAGTTTTAATGTTTGGTACAAACCCAGAAAGGGTATTTCATAGTTTAAACCTTTTATTCCCAGAGAACTGAAATGTTGTTTGTAGGTTTTGAGTTTGCATCTCAAAGTACTTTAAAAAAAGTTTTATAAGTAGGAAGAAATTTTTTAACATTCTTACTTGGAATGGCTGCAACTAATCTGAACAAATACTTCTGATTTTTCTTTTACCATTGAAACTAGTACTTTTTCCATTTCACAAATTTAAAATGAAATTCTAATGTCAGCCCACATGTTAGCTATCTAGTATTGCTTCACATTTTGTACTCACCAGGACTAATGATTTTTATAAACCACTTTCTGGGATGTACCAAAAAACATTTGACGAGATAGAGAATAGCTAGAGCCGGTCCTTGACTCTCTTCGAATCTCATCACCCCCTTGGCATGCTAGCAGAGAGCTGGGTGGGCCCATTCTCGCAGTCATGCTCATTTAGTGCTGTGTTTTCTAAGCGTTTCTGTTCAGAGAACTTGCTTAATCTTCCATATATTCTGCTCAGGGCACTTGCAATTATTAGGTTTTGTTTCTCTTTGTTTTACAACCTTTGATGGTAAGAGGAATACGGGGCTGCCACATCGACTTGGTCCTCATGAGTACCATCTTTACGGCCACTCGCGTGGACTCAGAAAACACACACCACCTTCGGGCTCACTCCAAGGACTGAACTAACTGGATCCACACCACCAACACTAAAATGGGAACACATGCATGGTTTGGAGCAATAGGAACATCATCATCATCTTTGCGCTTCTGTTTCAGGTATAGGAATTCTAAGAGGATTGGTTCTTAATGTCGTCCCACTTCATTTCCCCGCTTTCTTAGCATGTGCAATACTTTCCGTGCCAATAGTCTGATCCGTGTGCTCTAGTTGAAGCTCAGATCCTTTTGGCTTTTTCCTTGTGGGGAGGAAAGGAGCCGAAGGGGAGAGCCTCCTGCTTAGAGCTCCCCCTGCTGCTGTGGATGCTGAGTGCCGGGCAGGAGCCTTCAGGAGCCCAGGGGTCTGTCGCCACGTTGCAGAAAGAACAAGCGAAGGAGATATATAGGGGACGGGACAAGCTGCAGTTCCGCTGTCACCACAAGGAATAGTGAATGTGGAGTGTGGAGAGGAAGGAGGCAGAGTCATTTCTAAGGCGCACTCTGGAGCAGGAGAGCCAGCATCGACCCATTTTCCACGCCCTTTTCTGCAAGTGGGCAGGCCCCTCCTCAGGTCTGTGTCCCTGAGACTCTGAGCTGTGCCTCTGAGCCCGCAGGCAGTGTGGCCTGTTGTGTGGGTGCACTGTGAGCGTGTGGGCCGGTGGCTGTGGAGGGGGCCGCCTGCCAGCACTGCTCACCACTCCTCTGTGGCAGCTTTCTCTTCAAATAGGAAGAATATCCAGGGGACAGGGAACCTCCTCTTGTTTGCAGACCTTGGTGAGCTGAGGCTCCCAGAGCAGCCTTTGTCACCCCTCCTGTGTAGCAAACCTGGGAAGGACAGGCGTAGAAATTCTTCGGTGCCCTGCAGCTTACGAGGATCAGCCATGTGCCTCTGTACCGTCTACTTTGCAATATTTACTGACACTGTCTTCAGTTCTTTCTTTCCTGTTTTCCACTTTTAAACTAATAACAGCAGGCCTTTTGCGTTTACAATGGAACGCAATCACCGAGAAATCAGTCAGGGTGAAAAGAAAAAAAAATATAAGAAACCAACAAACAAGAACCTCTCTTTATAGGGATTTCTAAATATAGAAAATGACTGTTCCTTAGAATATTTAACTTAGAGAGTTATTTCAGTTTGGGCCACATTGGGGTGGAGATAAAAGAGATGGGTGCCACTTACCTCAAACCTCTTGAAGTGGAAATCCAAATTGCATTTTCATTTGGACTTTCAGGATCATTGTCTATGTCAATTTTTTTATTGTTGTTTTCCCCGACTCGCCCGGTTTGGTTTGGGATGATTTTTTTTTTTTTCCACTGCTGTTGTCGATCCCATTTCTAACTCTGAATTGTGACCCTACGTGTGTTTTGTTCGGTGAGTGTGTCGGGTTTTCCCCCAGCAGGAAGCGGCATCTTCCTCCTTCCCTACAAGGAACTCTGCGGAACCTTTCACACCTCTTACTCAGGGACGGGCTGGCGTGTGTGTGGTACACTGATGTGCCCCGAGCAGCACTTTGACTGCTCTGGAGTAGGGCTGTACAACTTCAAGGAATGTTTGGATTTCCTGCACCTTGTGGATTACTCCTTAGATCCCGCATAGATCGCAATATAATGCTGCATGTTCACGAGGAACAGTAGCTCCTAGTAATCATAAAATCCACTCTTTGCACATAGTTTGATCTTTACTGAAAATATGTTGCCAAAATTTATTTTTGTTGTAGCTTTGGAATTATTTTTGTTTGTTTTTTTTAAGGAAACAATTGACAATACCCTTTAACATCTGTGACTACTAAGGAAACCTATTTCTTTCATAGAGAGAAAAATCTCCGTGCTTTTGAAGACACTAAATGCCACGCTATTTCAGATTTGGGTGAAGCAGCAGAGCTCTTGGGACAGGCGGCCAGGCTTTTTGAGCTGTGTTGGTTGTCATGGCGACTGTTTCATGAACCGCAAGCAGCTCAACAAGCTGAGGTCTGTTCTCTCCTAAAACCCTTTGCACTTCCTAGTTCCTGGTCACCATGCTGAGTCCAGGTGAAAACAGGACCGGCTGCCTCCGTGGCCCCATCCAGCTTCTTTGGTGGTGATATATGAAAGAAAAGGGAATTATGCTTTTTTTTTTCTTCTTTAAAGTGGAGTGGAGGCCTTTGCTTCCACTTTTGTGTTTTCAACCCAGAATTTCTGAAATAGAGAATTTAAGACAACAAGTAATAAATATACAGAGAATATAGTTTTTATAAAGCACATGCATATGCTATTGTGTTGGGTTGGTTTCCTCTCTTTTCCGCGGACAGTGTTGTGTTTCTGTTGATAGGGAAACTCCAAACGATTTGCACACCTCTACTCTGGAGCTGAGACTTCTACATAGATGACCTCGCTTCAAATACGTTACCTTACTGACGGGATCTTTTCTTGTAGCACTAGACCTTGTGGGAATTTTCTTTTTTTTTCAATGTACACCTAATTTGAGAAGCTGAAGAAAAGAAATTTTTGAGGCACTCACTTTGAGGAGTACAGGTAATGTTTTAAAAAAAAATTGCACAAAAGAAAAATGAATGTCAATATGATTCAGTGTTTGAAAGATACGGATCTGTTGAAACAATGAGTTTCATACCTTGTTTGTAAAAAAAAAAAAAAAAAAAGGCATACAGGTTGGAAGTTACATGTTTTTTTGTATATAGAAATTTGTCATGTCTAAATGATCAGATTCATATGGTTACGGCCTGGAAGAACTACCGCGTCAAAGGCTCTTCAACTGTACCTATGCTTCCTTTCTGTTTTTGTTACATAATAGCCCTCGTCTGAGAGAGGGCGACTCTGTATTCTGCAGTCTGAGAATACTGTTCATTCCTATGCTGAAAGTACTTCTCTGAGCTCCCTTCTTAGTTTAAACTCTTAAGCCATTGCAACTCCTTTTCCTTCAGAAATGTTTGACATTTTCAGCACTTCCTGTTCCAATAAACCCAAAGAATATAATCCTGAACAAGAAGTGTTCGTAACAAGGGATCCTAGCTACCAATTAAACAGGACTCATCACGAGGACAAAAAAGATGCTCAGCCTTCTTTCCCCCCACACCTCATTTAAATGGGGGGACGAAACACGGAATTCAATTTAAATGCCTCATTTTACTTTAGTTAACTTTTTTTTTTTTTTAATACTGAGGCCAAAATAAATATGGGACAACCTCTCTGAAGAGTCATATTCTGTCCAAAAATCAAGCCGGCCAGCGGATACTGGACAGCTGTGGGGATATTGCGCAAACCCACCTACAATTCTTAAATTCAGAGTCTCAGCTCCTCCCGTGCCGTTAAATGCAACGTTTCTGGTAGCTGACATTCACCTATACAGTGGCGGGAGGGATCAGCAGCCTCGGTTTTTCACGTCCTCTTGACTTGCATACAGATGGTTCAGCTGTATTAAAACTAAGTGCATTTGGCCAATAGGTAGTATCTACACAGTAACAGTCTCTAAGAATTTCCGTAACTTTTCTTATCTGAAATCTTGAAAGGACTCAAGTCTTCCACTGCAGATAATTGGAGACTTTGCCCAAGTTTTCTTTCCCTTTGGTTTGTTCGTTTACTGTCTGGATGGCCATTGAGCCTCTCTCCTTTTCCATGGCCAGTCTGAAGGCCTGCGTTGGAAGCGTTGTTTACAGTAATCTTTGCCGAGATGATATACTGTCCTCTGGAATATAGGGCCTGAGGTGACACTAGCTCAGAGCTGTTGTCTTTATAAAGAGCAGTTACCATGCAGCCGGGTGCCTGGGTTTCCTCCGGTGCTCAGATGAGCCACCTACTCTTCTGGAGTGGGGTAAATTCTTTAGTCCGTGAACATTAAACTTGACGCCTGTGCATTGGGTTCTATGAATACTGCCCTTTTGGCCTCTGGGGGAGGTTTCCTCCTTGCCGGCCGGCACCGCTCACCTGTAAATCCAAATTAGTGTCAGCTGAAGGGAGGTTTCAGGATGGCCCTAGTATCAGTGGTGGCCTTCGTGAAGACAGCGTCCTGATTTCTAGCAAGTAGGATCCTGGCCCCAGAACCATCTCTGAGATTCGTCCCTATGGATGTTACTATCAGATCATGACCCACCAAACTTCCAACCGTACGCCTCCCACCGGCCAAGGGAAAAGAGACGCCAGGACTGTGGGCACTATCAGACTGACATGGCCAGTAGAGGAAAACTAGGGAAGGAGTGATGTTTTGCACCTTACTGAAAAGAAAATATTAAGTGCATACGTAGTTAAGAGCTTTTATTGTGACAGGAGAACTTTTTTCCATATGCGTGCATACTCTCTGTAATTCCAGTGTAAAATATTGTACTTGCACTAGCTTTTTTAAAACAAATATTAAAAAAAAAAATGGAAGAATTCATATTCTATTTTCTAATCGTGGTGTGTCTATTTGTAGGATACACTCGAGTCTGTTTATTGAATTTTATGGTCCCTTTCTTTGATGGTGCTTGCAGGTTTTCTAGGTAGAAATTATTTCATTATTATAATAAAACAATGTTTGATTCAAAATTTGAACAAAATTGTTTTAAATAAATTGTCTGTATACCAGTACAAGTTTGTTTCAGTATACTCGTACTAATAAAAATAACAGTGCCAATTGCAAATGTGTCCTTGCCTTGTGTCAGGTCCTCGAAGAATGCTGAGACTGGTGGGAATTCCTCCTTGCTTACCCACTGTCGTCACTTGGTAGGCATTGCCTGTACTAGTTTTTTGGAGGGGTTGAAAAGGGGAGGTCGTGATGTCTTTGCCTTGTTCAGTTCGTGTTTATTTCTATCTGAACGCCACTGTTTACAAGAGATAATTGTTTCTAAACGGCATTTGGCAGCTTGGTGGGCTCATGCAGCATTATTGATACATTCTGCTGTACAGTTTTGCTGTAAACTGGTTCGTGGTCTGAAGGCAGAAAGTTTCTGCAGTTATGCCTGTTAGAGACTCAACAAGCAGAGGGTCACCCAGCACGTGGAGGGGCCAGTTTGTCTCGAGAGAACTGTACCCCAGGTTTGCACTGTGCGATATGACACGTGGCTTAGCAGTTGCCCCGGAAAGTAGCTCAAGGACCCGTGACTTTCAGTGACCTTTGCCATCTGCATGTGTGGCCATCGACGTTCCCGCTGTGAGGCCCTGCAGAGGCGGAGAACTCTGGGTGTTGTTAGCCCAGGGAGGGAAGGCTACCCCTTTTCCTACCCTGCTGGTTAGATGTTTGGGGCCGTCTCCGAGGACTTAAGTGAGGCCCCTGGCGCATTGTGAATGTCAGTGATGAGGTGAGCCTTGTAGCCCGGACAGGAAGGGCTGCTGTGTCTCCCTCCTCCAGAGCAGTCTGGGGACGCGCTACATGCTGGGGACAAGTCTGGGCAGTGGTCTGAATAGCTGCCTTCCCTGTTTTTATATTAGATGCTAATGGTTCTGACAAGTTTGGGGTCCGATGGGTACCTGGACTGGTCACACTGCTGCAGTGGGGCAGGACCCCAAGGCGGATGACATCCAGTTCACTGGCTCTCCTTTCCTCCCCACAGGCCTAGGGCTGCACGGGAGGCCTGCACTTGGGCATCACGGCTGCTTCTGTGTCCTGTCCACACACCGGGTCTGAGGGCCGCTCCCCTGCGGGCTCCCCAGGCCCATTCCTATTGGAGATGAACTGGCTGCAGAGAGGGCAGTGGAGCCTTAGAAGTGCTTTCTGTGCAGCCTCTGCTTCCAGATGACCGTATGCCTCCTTGGCTTTTCCGTAACTGTTTTCATGTCCCTAAAAATCGGCTGAGCGAGGAACCTGCCTTCAGTTCGTCCGTGCAAAGAGCTAGTCTGCACAGTCTTTACACGAGACAGACAGCTGGGGCAGGCACCATGGCAGAGGGCTGCCGGAGGGGCCCCTGTAGTGATGNTGTGCAAAGAGCTAGTCTGCAGTCTTTACACGAGACAGACAGCTGGGGCAGGCACCATGGCAGAGGGCTGCCGGAGGGGCCCCTGTAGTGATGGGCGTCCCTCACCCTGACCACCGAGGGGAGCACAGGAGGGGACACTGGTAACAGTCTCTTACTGACTACTGCTGGTGCGTTTTAAGTTGATTCCTTTAGGTCCGCCTTCCCTTTACCTCTCCCTTATTTTTAAACTATCAAACCTAAGGCCTTCCACAGGCCCGGGGCTCGCCCCTCCAGCACAGCCCCACACCCTTCTCTGCATTAAACATCCTAGACCCTCATACCTCAAAGGTGTAGCCACTCATGTTTCCACAGGTACAAGAATCATTCTTAACGGGTGTGGAGGGAAAGGTATCTCAATGGAGTTAAAGTTGCCTGGTCTTTAAAGGTATTCTTGTAAGACTGAACACGGACGTCTAATTTCCCGTGTGGTGGTTTGGTTGGAGGCTGGAGTCTTCATACAGCGTCATCAGGCAATTAACTCGCCCTCCTGCAGTAGGGCCCTGTGGCCCTCTCTCACCCCAGGGCCGTCACTTGCCTTTTCAGAGAAAATTTACTCCTGTGTCTGCTTCTTTAGAATGAAGGAAACAGCCTGGTCTGCAGACATCTCCCAGTCCTATCACTCAAAGGATGCTTCAGCAAGCGCCCAGCCGTCACTAAGGCATCGGGTTCACGTTTAAACAGCGCCACAGCGGATGGCTGCAGGGCTCCTGCGGGCCCCGGGTCCTTTCCCCAAGAAAGCACCAGTGTTACCCGTGAGTCAGCCGTTACCCAGGCGTCCCTCGCGGTCCTTCCTTCCAAGCATTCATCACCATGAGGGAACGGTTCTAACTCATGTTTTAAACCAATGCTTTTAGGAAGCTGTTGGTCAAGGCTTTTGCTGTTTTCTCAGTGAGACTCCACCTGCTAGTTTTTTGGTGTATAACTGTTCAATTAAATATCCAGTGGAATTCAAAAATAAGAGGGAGGGAGGCCAGCCAGGCATGTCAGGACTCAGGAAGAACAAAGCTAAGAGAAAAACCAGGACAGGGACAGCTTCCCAGAAGGAGCAGCGACTGGCAGGGACAGATGCCCTGTCCCCAAAAGGCACATCTAACAAAGGTAGTGAAACACGTCACCACCCCTGGGAATACCTGCGGGAAACCAATTCCTCGTCTGTCCTTTTGGGGGGTGGTTCTTTCCCACCAAACAGAAGCTGGAGGGAGGTGATGCCGCTACTCTGACTGCCCCCCACCCGGTTCTCACCCCCCAAGGTGCATGGACTTAGATCCATGAGCATGTCGGGAAGAAGGGTGGAAACCCCCAGCTCCCCCTACAACTTGGTTCCTGAAAAGGCAAACTCCAGGACTCAAGTCAGTCTCAAGATAACAGCATTATATTAAAGTGAAACCATTTTCTTTTTTAAAAAAGAAAGAAAAAGGTACGAGTGTTAGTTTTAACAATGAGGTTATGAGTTCCGGGCAGCTGGGCTCAGCTGACCATATCAGTGCTCTGCTTCCAGCCCCCCGAAAGGCACTAGGGGAGCCCCAGCGCCTCCAGGCGGCAGGAGGAGAGGAGGCAGCATTGGCCGCTCGGGAGCAGCCAAAGCTCTGCTGTAACAGGAGATGTGAACGCAGCGTGTGTGGAAGCTCCGTGACCAGGACCGCACCTCACCCGCAGGTTAGCTGAACACCGTGTTGTGCTGCTGGGTCACCCGGATGAACGTGGTCCTCTTGCTGAGCTCTTTGAGCTTGGCGGCCCCCACGTAGGTGCAGGTCGACCTCAGTCCCCCGAGAATATCCAGAATCGTGTTTTCTACGTCCCCTTTGTAAGGCACTTCCACAGTCTTGCCCTCAGAGGCTCTGCAAGAAAAGGAAGTGCTCCTGTTAATCGGGCTCTTTGCCTTAGAAACCCAGCTAGAATCTTCCCAGCTCTGGCACCTTAAGCAGCCCCAGGGCCCTCAGGTAGCTAAATGCCACCCTGACCCCACACCCACACTGCTACAAACCCCAAGCTGACCATGCCAGCATCACAGATGAACACGGTCGTCCCACCCGAAATGCACGACTTCGCTGCTGGCTACTGAGAGCACCAGGGGAAGGCGTCTGTCAGCAACACGGGACCATCCTGCACAATGACATTCCTCTCAGCAGCGGGCCTCTACTCTGCCCCCACAGGACAAACTTCATTTCTCCTCCATCTCAGTCTGTACCTAGTCTCCAACTGNTACTCTGCCCCCACAGGACAAACCATTTCTCCTCCATCTCAGTCTGTACACTAGTCTCCAACTGGCCCAGGGCCCAATGCCCAGGGGATGAGAGCAGACCTGGCGGATTACCTCCAGACCAACCCCTGCCACCGCCTCTGCTGCTCACCCTCCCTGATCAACAACAGAAGGAGCCTGGAGCTTCTCCCTCCTGCATCCCAGGTCAGACAGAGTGTCTTCAAAAGGGACAATCGGGAGAAGACTGATAAAATGAACAACCCTAGCCCACCAGGTCACAGAGGAACCTCCACCAGCAAGATACAGCGACCCCCCTTAAGGGCCTGTCTTTCAGGGGGCCCTTTGCTGGGCACATTCCCCCAGCTCACTCCCTGCACTCACACAAGTCACTACGCCTGTCGTCCTGGGCGTGGGGTAAGGTCCCAGCAAGGTGGAACCCAAGGAGGACTCAAGANCAAGTCACTACACCTGTCGTCCTGGGCGTGGGGTAAGGTCCCAGCAAGGTGGAACCCAAGGAGGACTCAAGACTTTCTCAGCACCAGAGACAAGGACTTTAGTTAGTATCTTTCTTGTTTTCAGAACATCCAGAAATTCAGGTGTAGCACACAGTGCAAACACTNGGTTAGTATCTTTGTTTTCAGAACATCCAGAAATTCAGGTGTAGCACACAGTGCAAACACTAGGCAATATCGCTGTCCTTGCTGAGTCGTCCACTCTTCACAATGCCACCAACTAACACTGATTCCACAGGACAGGTCCCCTTCCTGCAAAATGGAGACACAGTCCAGANACTGTCCTTGCTGAGTCGTCCACTCTTCACAAGGCCACCAACTAACACTGTGATTCCACAGGACAGGTCCCCTTCCTGCAAAATGGAGACACAGTCCAGACTTGCTTTTGGAGAGGCACCACAAGATGGAAACCTCAGATCTATGTAAAACTCTAGCCCTCGTCACAATCTGGAAATTGTAACCACCAACTTGTTACTGGAACTTTCTCTAGCTGGTCTCTTCAACTGTTAAAACAGTATCTCCTGATTAGAAACTTACTACCTAGAATTTCGAGAGAGAGTAACTCCTGTACGCTGAAATCTACACATGCAGGACTCCCTTGGGTGAAATCTAGCTATTTAACCACCGACTAGATGAAGGGCTGGCCTAGTGGCTGGCTTAGGGCGCCAATATCATGAAGCAGATGACTTGTGTCACTGCACTGTGACCAGAGACCAACGTATGCACACGTGTGCCTGCAACAACTGCCACTTCATCTTCTCAAGGCCCGGGGCCTTCCTGGGCCTTCCTGGAAACTACCCACTGCTTCTCAGCTAACTGGTGATAGCATCTTTTGCAAGTCATTTGTTGTTGATGCTCAAGTCTTCTCATCTGTAAAACAAAGGTACTTTGATCTACCACGAACAGCGTGAGAACTAAATAAATGGTTAATGACTGGGAAGGAACTAACACAGCATAAATACCTCAGTCTTAATTAAGTATAATGTTAAATAGAACCACTCTCGTGAGAAGATAATAGCGAGGCTGCAAAGAGGGAAAGAGGATGGATGGAGGGAGGAAGTTAGGCAGAGACAGACAGACAGACAGATGCAGCCTGCGGGGCTCAGTCTGCCTTCGGATTACGGTTCTGATTCCTTCAGCACGTCCCTTCCTTGTCTAAGGCTCGAACCCACCTCCAGAACCGGGTCTTGCTACTCCTGAGTATTGTATTTTCTGTTATGTCTAGACCCTGCTGAAATTACAGGAGAAGATTTTTCTTTTGGCCCCTCAGCTTCTGTTTGTCTAGCCTAGCTGGGCCTTCCCAGTCTCTTTTCTTAGAACCCAAGACAGATGCGACGACTAGAGGGCAAAAACAAAAAGCATACTCGAGGCGAAGCAGCCAGCTGCCACCCACTCACAATGGCTCCACTTCACGCCAGCACCTAGGAGACCGACCGGGCACCACCTGGATGGCGACAGCGGCTGCTAGTACCACATGGAGCTTCTTGGCCAGAGGTCCAGGTTAGCACTAAGGGCAGCAATCACCTCCCCCCCCATCAGGTACCACGGGGGAGAAAGCTGGCCTCTGCAGGCGGCCGGGGAAGGAGCGCGCCCTGGTCCTGTCTGAAGTTGCCGGGTGAAGGTCTCCTACTCCCCTTTCCCACCCTGCCTTCCCCATGGTATCCCGTCACCTTTATTGAGGTTTCCCATAAAAGAGAAAAAGACTAGAGAGACTGAGGACAAGTCCCCAGTGCCCAACTGAAGAACAGAACCCTGGGAGAGCACCCCACACCGCCCACCTACCCACCCAAAAACCTCGGGGGGCTGTTGCCCTCTAGATTGGTTTGAACCTTATATAACGCATCTGAATCCCACGTCCTTACAGTAAGCAATTAGGTGTGGAAAGGATGGTAGGAAAGGGAGGGTGTCAGCCACGGAGGGCTTGGATTTGCATCCCAGTGCCTGAGGCTCCTGGAGAANAGTCCTTACAGTAAGCAATTAGGCGTGGAAAGGATGGTAGGAAAGGGAGGGTGTCAGCCATGGAGGGCTTGGGTTTGCATCCCAGTGCCTGAGGCTCCTGGAGAAAGGCAGGCAGCTCTCACACAGGACTTCCTCCTGCGGATACAGAGCCTTCCATCCTGCCCCCTTCTTGTAGCCTGTCGTCAGCGCTAACCCCAGTAAGGGCAATAGACTCGAGCAGGGGAAGGCCGTGGATATATTGTCAGAAGGTTCTTAAAACACACATGCAGACAATTAAAATGGAAGTGATGCGTCCACCTGAAACCTGTAATTTTATTAGCCAATGTCACCCCAATATATTTAAATAAAAATAAATGGAAGTGAAATGAAAGGCGAGGTTATCTTTTGGGATCATAGATTTAAGAGTCTCATGCTCTACCGACAGAGCTAGCCGGGCACCTTGGGATCATAAATT